ACTTGGTGTGGTCTTAGAAGTTTCTGATAGGGAGCACAGTACATATTGAGGGCCTTGGCTGTGACTAAGAAGACTTATTTAGCCTAAAAGCAATTTTTAGATTTATTCTAGGAAACTCGGTATTTTTAACATTTGTGTTTAGATTGTGTTTTGTATTTAAGATTTCCTGTTAATGGGAATTGATGACTTTTTTTAAGCTTGCTCATTAATGTAATTATGAGTCTAATAGACTACACTGCACAAAAATACTCGAATAACTTTTTAGGTAGTATATAGTTGGTTGTAAAAGCCTAGTTGTATGTACATCAGCGTGAATATAATTTTTTTTTTGAAAAAATGTAGAATAAGCTTAAAACTCCTAATATCCTTTTTACATAAATGTAATAATATATATTTTTATTAAAGTAAACAGAATTTGTGGCAGATTACATTCCAGTATTCATTCAGTTGTTTTCCCTAGAAAGATAGGAACAAAAATAATTGAAGTGTTTTTAGTAAAATTCATAAGATGGTTTGAGTCAATTTTTTTTATATTAGAGTATTTAAGGGTACTTTGGAATTGGAAGTAATGTTTGGAAACTGCTAAGTTGTAACTTTTTTGTTGTAATAGTAGCTAAGCCAAGATTGTTAAAGACCCTATGTGGTTAGTGATACCTATCCATTGAGGGTATAGCTAGGCCAAGGTCACTTGAAAGGACTTATTATAAGCCACAGATGATGGAATAATAACTTTGTGGCTTGTTTAAAACACTCAGTAGCTCTCCCTAGGAAGCCTTTTCCTTGCATGATTTGTAGTTTGAATTTGAGCAAAGGGGTAGACACAACTCTCCTCTACTAATTAATATTAATATATAAAGATGGAAAAGCCTAGCCAGTTAGTACTGAGTTTTTAGTACCTAGGTTTTTTTTGTTGTTTGTTTTTTCCCTCCCTTATTTAGTATGGGTACATGCTTGTAAGAGACAAGTATTCAAAGAACTTTGGCTAACTCATGTTGGAGTGGCCTTTGTCTCCTTAATCCTTGTCACTAACCTTTTGTTCCAAAGCCCTTGGGAGTGATCTCTGTATAGTGCTGATTTGAAAGGAGTATGCACCTTTTGAGTTTTGGTGTAGAATAGTGGTTAATACTGGTTAGAACCAAGGATCATCTTTCCCCAAGATTAGTTACTTAGAAAATTAAACATCTTAATTTATAATTACAAGCCCAGTGCCAGTATAGCTAATGGGTGTGGAAGATAAATGTTAGGCCAGTAATCTATTACCAGGACATTGGTTTGTAGTCACCTATCTGCCTAATAGCTTGGGAAAGTTCTGTATGCCACAATTTAGTGTATACTTGTAGCATAGCAAGAGAAGTGGGATGGAGAATCTCCTTTTGAACAGCTGGGCCTGCATATGGGGAGGGTACTGTATTCAGTGTCATAAATGACATTTTAGGGTACTGTGTATTCTGGAAAACTGTCCTAGAAAAGTTCCAGGCATTTCTTTGGACCTTGTGTAGCAGTGGCATAATGCCATATTCAACCTCTGTAAGTTAGTCTGGGATTTAGGTTTGAGTGAGCTAACAGCTGAACTTTGAATTGTTGGCTTGCTTTCCTTTGATCATCCCATTGGGTAAGACTACAGAAAAGAGTTTACCCACTTTAAAAAAAAAATCCTACACTTGGACACCTAAAAGTTGGTACTGACCAAAAATTGAAGCCATAGACCAAAATTTGGTATGAATTCAAGTATTAGAAGCATACTTACATAGACAGCTAAGTAGCTAGCTAGTTGATGGGAGAATGACTCATGGACAAGTAACAAGAATCAAAGGTTCCAGCATACTTCGTTTTCTTGCAGCTTAGTAATAAAAACAATGTGTTGATTTAAATTTCATCTCCTTTTTCTTAGTCTGTCCATGTGACTGTGCTGTGTGAAGAGTAAAAGGGGCCCAACTAAATGTGTTCCAGTGATTCTAATAGGTATTCAAATTAATTGCTGCTTGTATGTTTACCAGTTATGCTAGGTTTCCAGGATCACCTTACACAAAGCTATTGGCAACCAAGTGGACAGGATACATCTTTTAAGATATTTTCAGGAGTGAAATGTTTGGCAACTGACAAATTTTGCATAGGTTTACAGGAATACATTTAAGGACTTGACCCAAGCCTTAAGTTTTTAAGACATTTATTACCCTCAGGCTTATTTATTGCAAAACAGTGACCTTTAGGGTACTTTCTGCCTTTGCTTACCAAATTTCTGTCTTGACACTAGTAATACCAGGTTTAGAGGTCCAAAATTAGATCTGAAGTAAACTGAAACTTAAAAGATGCTAAAATTAATGGGAGACTTGGTATGAACTTTGGTTGCGCCATTCCTGAGGCATTTACTGTAAAATATAAACTATAATAATGTCTAGGTGAAATCAATGGTAGGACTTGCTTTCAACTATGATATGGGTTTATGCAGCAAAAATAGCTGCACTCTCAAGGCAACTTAATGGCTTTCAATGAGTAGGCACCCAAGGGTTTATGACCATGGTTCATTTGAGAAAAAGGTGCAGAAAAACTTGTAAATAGGCATTAAGTTTCACTGGCAATGCATGTTTTCATATGGTATAGAAGCATTTGCTCGGGAAAAGCTATTATAGTACATGTAGATTAGTCTTCCAGTGGTGTGCCATAAACAGGTGGTTTAGAGATAACAGTACTTAAAGGTTACATTGTTCTACACTTAAAGTGAACAACAGAAATCTTGTCTAGCTGGTAGCCTTAAAATTTTTGTCAATGTCTTACTAGAAACTGGAAGGGTATAGTTGAAAAGCCCAAATATTTGCAGCCACATGTGCTTATCCAGTAGTACGTGGAGAGGCTTAGACAGGATTATACAACTTTTTATCTATTAATGCTTATTCTATAAACTTAAACTGTAATTAATGCATTGAAAACTATCTTCCTAATTCTTGTTGCAACAGCTTTGTTTTCTCAAAATATTTAAAAATAGGATTAATGTTAAGATGTATAAAAAATACCAGTATTTGGGTGGTAGTAGTGGATACTGGCTATTATATTGACCTGATATAATTACTAGACCATCAAGCTGCTTCAGAATTGATTCTAGAGGACTGTTATAAGTCAGAATTAAGAAATTGTTTAATTTTCCTACTTACTAAGGTCTGCGTACCCAAAGAATAGTGCATATTTAACATGACTTTTAAAGGGGTGCTTTGACACCTGTCACAGATTTTTATCTAGGAATAGAAGGATTCAAACCCTATTTGATCCTTAGCTCTTTCCTGAAAAGTGCATAAACAGGAATCCTGAATTTATTATATAGACCTCCGCATTATATAATCGAAGCAAAGGGAAACCACCGATGGAGTTAGAGGTACGTAGACTAAAAGGATGCTTGCAAATCAAATACTGGTTTTAGCATAGTTGAGATTATTGTTGCCAAATTCAGTCAATTAAGTCACAAGTCTAGAAAAAAAGCTGTTCTATTAAATTTCCCTGAGGTCCTTTTACTGAGATGGAAAAGCCAAGGAGTCAAAGGGGAGGGGTTGAGGGAGGGGAAAAAGGAATAAAAACAGCCTAGGATTGGTAGATAAAACTAGCAAAAAACTTCAAAACAGTACTAACACTACAATTCTATTTTAACCAGCTATTTAGCTAGTACCTACTGCTATATCACCTAGTATGAAATTCCGGATTATCTGAACAGTGAAGAACCAGTGAGCAGAGAGGTCATTGAAGGTAAGTTGAGTTTTAAATATTTGCAGTGTAAAAGTTTGGATTGGGATGGACATGGTATGGTGTCTTGCTTAGACTTTACCTAGTAAATACACAGCAATGGACCTCAAAACTATGCCTGGGAAATGTAGGTGTGGTGTGGTGCTTAGGCTGTGACCCAGTGAAAGTCACCTATTAGAGGAGATGCACACCCAGTTTCTGAGGAAAATGTAAAGTTACCAAAGGTTTCTGGCAAACCTGGAAATTGTGTGCAGGAGGCTCAGTTGTCAATTGTTTGGATGGGATGACAGTAGGTTTAATTAAGCTGGGCATAGTAATTCATTCCTGTAATACCAACACTGGGATGCTTGCAAAGAGACTGTCAAAGTACAAGATTAGAAACCTTAGTGCTCATGGAAGTATATATAACGGCATATTGCAGGCAAGTCAATAAACTAAAAGCTTTGTGGCTCTTTTTATCCAGTTTCTCCAGTTGTGCTGCTGTGAAACTGCACTTTGTAAGTATCGAAGATACTGGAAATGATAGCAGCCAAGAGAGGTTTCTCTTTCACGGTAAGATACAACTGTAGTATGCTAAAGCTAGGAGAACTTAAATCAGCAGTTGTTAGTAAGTTAAGTCTGAGAGCATAAGAACACTGTGTACACAGCTTTTTAGAATACTAGATTGACCATTTAACCATTGACATGCTGCAAACTCACTTATCAATGGCTAAGTCCTAGGGTGGCTACAGCTGAAAACTTTTAGTAGCACATGTGTACAAGCCATTATTGACTGGTAGTTACACAAGTCTGCACCCTGGCCTTCATGGTGATCAAAAGGAAAACAATCTTTCCTGTTTAAGGATAGATAGAGAACAAAATAGTTTCAGACATTCTTTCTTCAGGTCATCATAACAATCATAGGACCAGTAATGGGCTTGTTCAGGTACAATTCTCCTTCATTCTGGTTTTATTGCATTTGACAGATGTATAACAAGCACACTGTACTGGCGTTCAAGACCAGAAAAGGTTCTCATGCAAGTGACACAATGCAGTTCACACATATTTAAGAGCTTTTTTATTGTATACAATAAGACATTTGTGGTTGATACAAAGGAGTAATTCTCTGGGTTTCTAAGCTCAAGGTTGCTCAGCTGCTGTTATTGCTCTTGATTTTTCTTTCAGGATCAAGGTGGGTGCTTTCATATAAAATCTTATTTTTAATTCCTTCTCTGGCAATTCTTTCTTGGATTCTTTGCTTAGCAAAATTATACCTACAATGGAACCTTGTAAGAAGGAAAAATGAATAAATTACTAGTTCCTATATGAATAACCTAAGGGATTTTAAGTAGTTTCATACAGATTTCCAAAATGACTAACCCAAAGCTGTATTTAAAGGTGTTCTTTCAAAATACAAATGTTTTAAAAAAAAATAAGTACATAAAATGTAAACTTATGTCACCTTAGATTAATTGTATCTGTTGTAGAACATGATTATTCTGCCATTCATCTGTTCAAACATTCAATAGTCATAGGACAGATTTTGATAAATAACTACTTAGCTGAGCGTGGTGGCTCATGCCTTTAATCGCAGGAGCACAGAGAAAACACCTGTCCACCAATGATTTCTGAAGGTGGTGGCGGTGCACACCTTTAATCCTAACACTTGGGAGTTCAAGACCAGCCTGGTTCCAGGACAGCCAGGACACAACCCCTGTCTCAAAAGAAATCTGAATTTCCTGGAATATCCAGCAAACATACCAGCATCCTAAAGTCACCAGGATAAATCCTCCTACTCCAACATCACATGATCTTCTAATTCTACCTGTCAAAAACAAGTGTGGTCAGTATAATTATGTTCTATGGAGAAAATGTTTCACCACAGAAATGTTCTATAGGAGAAATACTTACTGGTCACTAAGAAATGTCCAAGTCCAGCCACAACAGATCCTAATGAGCCATAGAGTATAGATTCTCGTGCACATGGAATGTTCTCAACATCTAAAATTCCTAGGAGCTTAAAGGTCTAGGATAAAATGAAAAAGAACCTAGACTGAACAAGAAAATAGTTTTAAGAGTTAAAAGTACTCTATAAACACCATTAGTTGCCTGACTTAGTGTGCTATATTTATCATTTTGGGAATCCATACATTTGAATATAGTGCTACTTAAAAATCACTCAGTGAACATAGTAATTGCAAGAAATAGTTAATATATATGTATTTGACCTCTAGTATAAGGTAACAAGGATATCTGCCACTCACTAGCTCAAGGATGGGATGAAAAACAGACTTTAGTTTTGATATTTTTAGCCAGACACCTGGTAGTTTGTGATTGTAATCCCAGCAATCTGGGAAACTTGCAGCAAGATGGCTGCTGTTGAGTCAGAGGTTGGTCTGAGCTCCAGGATTAAAAGTCTCAAAAGCACAATTGCAATCAATACCAAGATTGCAATTTAGAAATGTAGCATGTGTTGAAGATACCCTGTGCTGGATCCCAGCACTAGAAAAACAGGTCTGGATAACTGAATGTCTTCTACAATGCCATTCAGTGCAGCTAGAGGATTGCATAAGACATGGTACCTACAATGGGAGTGATGACCGTGGGGGAAAGGAGCAAAAGTAAAAGGCAGGTCAGATCCTTTAAAAATGGGGAGGAAAGAGCTTGAACCTCACCTGTCTTACTCCTTTGGCTCAAGGACCTGCTTGAAGATGAAATGTGACTTGATTCTCATTAAAGTATGCTTTCCCAGATGGCTTCTGTTTTGTCTCTGTTTTTTCCTTGTATCACACACCAAGCTTTGGGCCGTCTTCCCATACAGAGTTGGAAAGTGTCTCACCATTAGATCACATAAAAAGTAGGTCATGACTTAGTGAGGGATTCATTTTCCTAAACTGGAGACACTGAACACCCCTCACCCCTAGAAATGGTTTGCTGTAGCAGAAGAATGATGGGGGTAGTTACAGCATTCCTTTGCATCCAGGACATCATGGAATGGAGTTGGTGCTATTGATGGGAACTCTAGTGTCAAGAAATTGTATCACCAATGTCCTTAACCTAGTCCAGACCTTTTCAATTGGATGCTCTCCTGTGATAAGCACTGCAACTTAGTTTGCTCAGACAGTTCAGATGAGATGTAGATAGTATCAAAGCTCTCAATGCAGTTGAAATATACAGCCCAGGCTGTCTGTCCTTGAGGGAACAGGTTATCCCAAGCTGCCTGAATGGTGTCTCCTTAACTCCAATTTCAGGGGACACTTGGTCACCAGGCATACGCACAAAACATACCCATGTAACTATTAAAGAGAACACCCTAAGTGGTACTGCAAAAGGTCACATCTGGCCTTAAGCTTTTATGACTGTCAGACAAGTCCCCCATGGTTTTCCCAATAACCTTTTGTGTTTACCAGAGTCCTGCCTCCTGAAGGACTGCTGGCATTCTTTGGATGGGTGCTTGGGGAGGGGATGTTACAGGACAGTAGCTGGTGGCAGTCCTGCCCTAAGGTTTCTAGGAGTTGAATTCTTGTCTTACCAGGTGGTGTGCTGAGCCATCTCACTAACACAACTCTTAAGTCAACATCCTCAACCAAATTTATTGGGGGCTATGGGGAGTTCTTACAGGATACCATTCCTGTGGCCTGCAGCACAAATTACCACTTCTCTGTTCCCTTTTATGGCCTCTACTATCAACCGCACCTGCCTGGCAGGGTAATAACTGCTGGCAAGGCCTTGCAAGATACCTACACTTAGATTTCAGTTCAATCTCAACATTCATTTGGGACAATTTACAGTAATGGCTTGGCTTGTTATTCCACAGACCTAGATGTGCCCTCCTTTTATGTAGATTTAACATTTCTTCCTTGTGGCTCAAGTTTTTCAACTAAATGCTACTTACACGCTTCCCTGTTAGTGAAACTTCGTTGTGCTTATTTTGTAAGCTGATAAGTATTTTTGTCATATCCACGTGAAGTTTCAGCAAGCCTGTGTGACATAGTCTAGTCTTGAAGCAAACCACGTTTTACCTTTGTTGTACTACCAAACTATCATTAGAAAAGTAATATTTTAGATTTCTTTAATTCATAAAAATGTATCTGGTGACATCTTTTAGACATTTCACCATGAGCTTTTGATTTTACTTAGACTGCAATCGTAACCACTGCTACCAAGGAAGGCCCATATGCTCTGCTAAGAGCTTTGTATCACATTCTCCACTCCGGGCACACCTATCTATCTGCTCATAGCCATTCTATGAAGTATAGCTGTTCAACTTCATAAAGAGCAAAGGCTGTCCGTTTGGGTAATAAGAGCCCAATACATGCAATACTCAATGGGTTAGGGAATCTACCTGAGTGTGCGCGCTTGCTTGTATGTTATGCAAGGAGACAGACACATTAGCCAAGGTTGGCCTAGAACTCATGCTGCCTCTGCGTCAGCCTCCTAAGTGCTGAGATTACTGGTACGTGTCACCTCACCCAGCTCTTGGGGAAAATTTTCATGACCCCTCTACTACCGAAGTATAATGCGGTGCTAGGTTAGGATTAGTCGCCGTTTTCATTCCGATCCTGCCGGTCTGCTCTTCGCTAACGTGAATCAATTGCAATTCGGACACTCACATGCGGGATGGGAAGACTAGACCGCTGGAATAGCTCACGGTCATGGGGACAGGACTAGAACCGGGGCGCCCTCCCCCGCGAGACCCACGGCGTGCTTTACCTTCTTCTCCGGCTCCTGGGGCTCCCGCGCGGCAGCCATGGTGCCAGCCGTCGGCCCCGCCCCGCCCAGGCCCGCGACGGAAGCCGCAGGCCCCGCCCACCCTCCCGCGCGGCGGCCGCCATCTTAGGGAGCCTTCCCGTGGCCGCGCCGAAGCCCTCCGCGGCCCCCTCCTTTGTTCCGTGGGACCGTCCACAGTTTTTCCAGCCCCGGAACCGGCCGTCAGGAATGAGACGGCAGAGGCGGCGACCTAGAGAAGCGCCACCGGCTCCCGTCTCGCAAGCGGGGTAGCCCGAGACAGGGAGAGCCGAGAAAGTCTGCTCCCCCCAGCCCCGCCTCCGCCTCAACCGCCATTTCCAACCGTTGTGCGCGTCCCCGTGCCGGGCGCCGGGCGCGCGCCGAGGGCGGGGCCGGGGCCGCGCGTTCGGCGCCGCTTTGTCCTCCGAGAGGGCGGGAGTCCGGGGTTGACGGCCCGCGCGCTGCCGGAAGTCGCCTAGCCCTGTTTCCGTAGGCCTCGTCCCCTACGTGTCCTTTGTGTCCTGGCTCTGGTGACCTTGGCAGCCGCCGCCTCCCCAGCCTCAGTCCCTCGCGGCGGCCTCCCGGCGCTGCGGACCCGCGCCCCTCCCCCGCCCGCCCGCCCGCCCGCTCGCCTGCTCGCCCGCCCGCCCTCAGATCGAGGAGGTTAAAAATAGCAGCACGCTGCTGGCGTGGAGGAGAGCCAGGACAAAATGGAGGCGGCCGCCAGCTCAGGGACGTGCGTCAGGCTGCGCGTGTCTTCCGCCGGGAGGCAGGCCGCGGGGTGATGCGACGGCGACACAGCGGGAGGGAGCCCAGGACGTGCGTGTCGGTGGGCCTGGTCCAGCCAGTTCGGCAGCGGCAGCGACGCCGCTTTCGGGCTGAAGTCCTGGGTCCAGCCTGTGGCCGCTCCCTTTGTTTACCTCCGTCCTTCCCGATTTGGCCTCTTACGTTCCGAACGGTCCTCCCCGGAAAATGCTCCAGCCTGTCATTGTGCAGAGTCATGCTGCCTTTGACGCAGCGTGCTGCACAGGCCGTGCCCGATAGTGTTAGCTGGGAGGATGTCACCCGAACCATGACGGCTGCTTACTGTCTCTTCATGCTCTTCAACTGCTTTCCGACAGTCCCAGGGTGGAACAGTGATTTGTTGTATTTCTGTGTCTATGCGTGGTAGAGTTTGTATTTTTAAATTCTTTTTTAAGAAACCACAGTTATAAAGTGTAAAAGGCTCTAGGGAATATAACAGGAACTGCTGTATTGACAGCTTGGAATGCTCTGCTGAAATTCTTGACTAGCCAGGCTTTGAATTCTTGTCTGGAAGGTAATAGTTAAGGCTGTAATATTCCATAAAGGAGAGAGGAATCCTTTTGAATTCCTAATTGCGCTATAGAGGACATAACTGGAAAAGTACCGAGGAAATAACTTTGCCATTTTATTTATGACTGAGAAGTTGCTAGAGTAGACTGACTCGGAGTCCATTGCACTTACGTTGAATGTTCTCGTGGATTCGCTATATTGCAGGTTCTTAATTTAACAAAATTGCATAAAATTCAGTTTCTTTGTTAACAATTGAGAGTGAAAAGTAACACACTTAGCTGTCACCTCTTCCTCTCCCTGAAAGTGTAGATGAAGAAAACCAATTTCACCTCAAAGGGAATAGAGTTTATTCTGGAGCCAAATATGAGTGACCATGACCCAAGAACATGGAATCAGACTGTCCCCAAACCACATTCAACAATAGTTTTATGAGGTTTATATGGTAACAAATGGAAACATCAGGTAGGCCTTTTATGGGATATCTCCTGCTGTCGGCTCTGGATTTTATATGATGACATTCTTAGTCTTTGGAATTGGTGGAAACTAGTGTTCTGTTTGTACATTCCGAAAGGACAGTCACAAGGATGTGTGGCTAAACATAGAAGTGGGCGATGAATGGCTATTAAGGAGGCTAAGGATAGCCTAAGATACTTTGGCTCCAGGCCCGCGGCATTCCAGGTCTCTACTATCACAGTTAAATCAATTGGCCTTGTAGAATTTTTAACTCAGGAGGGAGGTGAGTGTGGGTGTGTGGCTTTTTTCCCTTGGGAACTATAGTTCACAAAGGAAAAGAGCAGTTTGTTGTGTTTTTCCAAACTGTTTTCCTTTTCTTAGTTAAAAATTATTGCACGAATACATAAATTTTTCAGTCCTTTAAAATAACGTGAAGGTATGTTGGATTTGGGTATTTTGGTTCCCACCTGTAATCCCATCACTCAGGTTGAGAGAGTCTGATTTCTGTGATTGTTGTGATTTCAAAGCTAGCTACAGAGTGGGACTCTGTCTCAAGAAACAAATTGATAAATAACTCACTGGAGGGTTTTGACGGTGTAGCTCAGTGGGAGAGTATTTGCCGACCCAGGGCCTGTTTGGAGTTTGATAGCCAGGACTGTTAAAACACATACACAACTTTGAAACCTCACCATCACCTGCCAGAATATATGGGTAAAAAGTACAGCCTCCAACCTATTGTAAACATCTTTTTTACACTCATCGCTGTGTGATCGTAGTGGGCCTCCCCTGTCGGGTTTCTACCTTTGGTCATTCTTGACATTTTTTCCTGTAATGAATGCAGTTGTGATATAGCAGAAAGCAATTATTTACAGAAGCAGAGAGATAAGTTAAATGACAGGGAGTTAGCCTTTAGCTCAGGGTCATATTGTTTAGGAATTTGGGGCTGGTCCAGAGACCAGTTTACCTTAGGAATTTTGTTTGTTTGTTTGTTTGTTTGTTTTTTGTTTTTTCGAGACAGGGTTTCTCTGTGTAGCTTTGCGCCTTTCCTGGAACTCGCTTTGGAGACCAGGCTGGCCTCGAAGTCACAGAGATCCGCCTGCCTCTGCCTCCAGAGTGCTGGGATTAAAGGCGTGCGCCATCATGCCCGGCCTACCTTAGGAATTTATATGGCTGGTCCAGAGACCAGTTTACCAAGATAGTTTTAGTATTCTTAGGAATTTTTTGATGAGATGGCATAACTGTAGTTCAGTAGCCTACTACACTTCTGTCATGTGGGTCGTAGGAATCGACCTCAGGTCTTCAGGCTAGGCAATAAGCTGCTGCGCTGTCTCACCAATCCCTCTACTTACTCCCTTCATAAGAATCAACTTTTCAAAGCTTTTGTGCACTTACATAGAATTGGCTGTAGCTCCATGGTAGAACATGTGCTTAACATGAGTGAAGTCTTGGGTTCCATCTTCAATGGATCAATGGTTGTGATGGTGTTCTTAATTCACAGCTGCTCTATCCAAACTCTGTATGGTTATTCTAGTTCAGTTGCTTTGCTAATCTTGTTTATGGAATTTTTCAGTTTTCAAATATTTAACTTTTCATGAAGGGTCACATCTGCCAACATATTCTCTCGTAGTTCTTTTTAAAAATTTTATTTACTTGCAGGTATGTGCACTTTGTGTATGTTAGTGCATGTCTCATGGTGTGCATGATATCGGGCTTGGCAGCAAGCTCCTTTAGCAACTGAGCCATCTGCATACCCCCCCCCCCCCCATATAGTTTTTTAAAAGATAGTGTTGCTAGATATAGCATTCTGGGTTAGCAGTTATTTATTTAGAGGGCTTGAAATACATCTTTTGCTTTCTTGGATTTGAGAGTCCCTAATAAGAGATTTTTTTTTTTAAGATTTATTTATTTATTATGTATACAACATTCTGCCTCCATGTAACCTTGCACACCAGAAGAGGGCACCAGATCTCATTACAGATGGCAGTGAGCCACCATGTGGGTGCTAGGAATTGAACTCAGGACCTCTGGAAGAGTAGTCAGTGCTCTTAACCTCTGAGCCATCTCTCCAGCCCCCTAATAAGAGATTTGATGTTGTATGTTTCTGCCTTTTTAGCTGAGTTAACATGTCCCCTCCTCCTGCCCCCAGCTCCTCATAATGTTTTTTGCTTTGTATATTGACATCTTGATGATGTGTTGTGGAGAGGTTCTTCTCTGGTCATGTTTATTTAGAGTCCTGAGTGTTCTTGTGTGTGAATGTCTATTATTTCTCTAGAAATAGACATTCACACACAAGAAATTTTGTTGGGAAATTTGTTAAAATTTCATTGAGTAAATTCTCTATGCCTTTAGTATATGTGTGTGAGCTCCTAGCTGCAGATTCTTAGATTTGAGCCGTGTGTGTGTGTGTGTGTGTGTGTGTGTGTGTGTGTGTGTGTGTGAGAGAGAGAGAGAGAGAGAGAGAGAGAGAGAGAGAGAGAGAGAGCGCGAGCGCTCCTAGCTGCAATCTCTCTCTCTCCTCTCTCTCTTTTTTATGTTTTTCTTGACAGGGTTTCTCTGTGTAGCCCTGGCTGGCCTACAGAGATCTGAACTACTCAGAGATCTGAGTGCTGTGATTAAAGGTGTGCTCCACCACTGTGCAGCTTTTAGATTTGATGTCTTGATCATAGCCTAGAATGCTTGAACCATGTGGTCATACTCATTACCTATTTTTCCTTGTTGCTGTTGAATGCAGTATTTAATCAACTTTGTTCTGCTTGGTCGAGTCTATGGATTATGCTTTCCACTGTGTTCAGATCAACTGCCTATTTATGGTTTTTAGGAGACAGAGTCTCACTATGTAGTTTTGGTAGACCAGACTGGCCTTGAACTCATAGAGATTCATGGATTTAAAGGTGTGAACCTCCACAGACAGCTCTTTTCATTCTAGTGTTCCCAGTACCTTTTATTGAAGAGGCTGTCTTATCTCCAGTGTGAAAAAGAGGTAGCTGAGGCTAGAGAGATGACTCAGCAGTGAAGAGCACTTGCTGTTCTCAGGATCTGATGCCCTCCTCTGACACCCTCCTCTGGCCTCCACTAACACCAAAATACAAATAAAGGTAATCTTTTGAAAAAATCAGATGACTGTAGCTGTGTGGGTTTATTTCTAGATCCTCTATTCTCTGTGTGTTTGTTTATATGTAAGCATATGTTTGTGTAGCCAAGACAGGGTTGGA